AAATTCTATATATAAAAAATATATATTAAAAAAAAAATAATAATAATATATATATATTTTTTTAAATCTGCATTCTTCCATGGCTATGGAGAGACAGGTGGAGCTAACAGCCTGTCAACGTGAATGTCTGTACGCCCCTGTACTCATGTAACTGCTGATGATCCATTTACCCAAGAATGCACACAGTGTATTTTACAGAACGTGAAAGTGCTGCATACTGAAAAATACACTGTACAAGCATGTGCAGGTAAATGCCGATGCAATGAAGCATTTGTATCTACACGAGTACAGGAGCGTACTGCCTTTCACTCCTATGACAGGCTTTAGGCTCCACATGCAAGGTCACCAGCCACAGAAAAATCCAATATTAAAACAAAATGTAATAAATGCAGTAAATGTAATATATTGCAACTTGCCACAGAAAAAAAAAAAAAAAAAAAACCCCTATCAGCATATATCCAGAGCAATAAAATTAAAATAAATCCGCGCTAAGTCACCACTAATCAAATACTAAGCAGCCACTCTTTTTTTCATGTTTACCTATAGGTAAACCTTTAATAAATGTTCTCTGTTTAGGAGATATTTACTTTGGCAGCGCCGGTGATGTGACCAGCGCACGCGCACTGTACTCTCAATGGACGGTGTGCCATCCAGTGAGAGAGCTGTGCCGTGGCATCACCGTGGCTCAGCCAGTTAAAAGGCTGCAGCCTGGGAAACCAGAAGGAAGACCATGTAAAGATGGAAGCCCCGAGGAGCCATGACAGCATTCCACTGGAGTGCTTCGTTTTCAGGTAGGTCTTTCATAATGTGCAATATGTGATGCATACCAGTACATTATGCTCTTAACTTGCAGGGAAAAGATTTGTTAGATTTATTTACTGCAGTTTACTACCGCGTTACCATAAATAAAATTTAAAAAGCGGCGCCAATATAAACCAAATACTCATGAGCAATAGTGATTCATCAGATGTGATTATAAAAACACTCAAAGTGCAAATGTGAAAAAAAAAAAAAAAATAGAGTGCATATACATAAGGTGCGTATATAGTCCATATAATTATGGATTTTGAAAAATAAAGTGCATTAAAAAAACAAAATTCATAAAAAAAAAATGTAAACTCAGTCCATCCATATGTGAACATGCTTTTGGAAGTGCTACCCACAGTGTGTGAAAAGCGATCACCCTATAGATGTAACGTGCTTAGCAAAATAAATGTAAACTCAGCCTTAAGCTGGACATACTGTGTGTGTGGATGTAGCTGAAGAAAAAAAAAAAAAAAAAAAAAAAAAAAAAAAAAAAAAAAAAAACGAGCACCACTGCAACTGCAGATCAAAGCGAGGCCAAGATGGCATCTTCCTTGGTTATAAAGGATAGGAGGGTTTAGTTCCACTACAAAGTGGCTGTAAAAGGTTCACATGTAATTTTTTTAACATAACAAACATGTCATACTCACCTGCTCTGTGCAATAGTTGTGCACAGAGCAGCCCCAATTTTTTCAATGGTTTAGTTTTTTTTTTGTGCTGATTAGCAGAGTTGTGTGCTAAGAAAATGTATGATTTCCAATAACCTCCCTGAATTCAGATTAAATTCCTCTTAATACTTGCTGTATTCCTGAATGTGATCAGGAAGAGCAGCTCCTCAGCCGGGCCCACCAGGGCATCAGCGAAAAGAGCATTCGAGACACATCCTGTCATCATGTTCTGTACACTGTAATGAAGGGGAGAATAGCATTCTAAACACTCATCTCCAACGGGCCTCAAAACTCCTCCGAGTGAAAGAAAATCTAATTCTCAAAAAAAAAAAACCACAACAACAGCGAGGAGAGAATAAAAGTCTCACCCATACTAGGGTCACTTCACCGACCTCCGCCACAACGGTGCAAGATCGAATGACAAAGTTCTGCTGTGTTGTAATGAAGTGAAATTGGACTTTGTCATGTGTGCTGCAGAGGGGTCTGGCCCCAATTACCTCTGATAATGAAGGACATTTGGAGGAGGAATGATCAGGAGACATCAGTGCCTGGTTTAGCTATTACTGTATTCCAGACACAAAGCACAGAAGAGATTTGTACATTTTCAATGTTATTTACAGTTATTATGCCATTTATGTAAAAGTAATATTTAAAGAATTCCAGGCATGGCATTTTTTCATTTAGTTACATTGGTCCAGCTTGGACCTATGTAACTATGTATATACCACACCTGGCTGATGTCCCTGGAAGCTGGAAATCACTGTTGTAGGTATTGCTACGACAGTGAGCCCCACTTGTTTCCAGGTCCCGTGCTGTGCAGCCGGCCTCATGCACTGTTAACACAGGGAGGTTGGCTGCTCAGCACAGACACCATTCAGAGAATGCTTGAACAAATGCAAGGCATTCTCTGATTGGATAAGGTGTTGAGGCAGGGAGGTTACATCATGCTCTCCACTTTGTCCAATCAGAGAATGACTTGCAAACATTTTCTGAAGTGCTTTTAATGAAATTCATCGAGTCATTGTACTGATGAGAATTTTCATACAAATGTTCATACAAACATTCATTCAAAAACTTGCAGTGTATGGCCAGCTTAAGGAATAGTTAATGTCGCAGTACATTTGATGACTTGATGAATGTCATTGGAGAGTACTTCAAAATGTTGTTTGCTTTTAACATTCGACTTGGAATAAATGGACTTTCACTAACAAAAGCCACATACACTTTTAGAAACCTGCGCATTGAAAGAAAAATCTTCCATCTTGTTACTTCAAAATTTTCTCGTTACAGCGGTTGAAACTGTGATCTGGACTGTTTCTAAAGCTGGCTATACACTATTAGAATTTCAAACGAAGATTTGTACAAAACCTCTCTGTACATTCAACGTCCTGACAAATGTATTTCAAAATTTCGTTTGCCAACATTTGATTTTGGAGCGAATTGACTTTACAGAATGAAAACCACATACACCGTTAGAGACTTGTTCATCCAAGAAAATATTTCCATCTTACTCCTTTGAATTTTCTCATCATTGTGGTTGAAAACAAAAGGTTGATTTTACCTCAGGAACAACTGGAAAACCTGACGAACATTCTTAAAATGAAAAATTTTGACCAAAATTCTACTAGTTCATAAGCCAGCTGAGAGCTTCGGGTGTACCCATTTGTATTCTAGCTTCTCCGGTTACATTCCCCTTAATATAAATGTAGAAAATCCAGCAGGGATGGTGGGAACCCCTCCTAACGGGTACAGACAGTGTGTAGACCTCAGACTGTAATAGTGAGTTTACGGAACTCACTCAAAGCCCCAGTGTGATGAATTAAAGTTATTCTAAACCTAATTTTTTTTTAAATTTAAACCTAAATTTTTCCGTTGCTGTTTCTGAACCAATGAGGATGTGCTTTCAGGCACAGCGCTGGATCAGGCTCAGGTAAGTATAAGGGGTGGCTGGGGAAGGAAGGGGGAAGAGTATGCAGAATGTTTTTTTAATTAATGCGTAGAATGCATTAAAAGGTAAGAAATAAAAACTTCAGCCTTTAGAATCACTTCAACTGTCAAAGTGGTTTAACTTTTCAACACTGACCAAAACCAAAATATCAGCTATGGGTGGACTTTCCAATGCTCCCTTTTCTCTTCTGTAGCACTGAACTGCTTGTTTTTAAAAGCAGATGTAAACTATAAAAAAAGTATGGCATTTAGTTTTCCAAAACTATCATACAATTGCCATTGTTTTCCCCATATTCTTTAGAGGATGATTGTTTTCACTTTTTTCATCCTTTGTTGCATCTTTGTGCTGCTATCTCTGCAAACTCTTTTCAGCCATTTGCTGTCTACATGCACTCCACCAACAGATGCAGAAAAGAATATCCTATCCTGAAAAAAAGGAAAAAAAGGAAAAAAAGGAAAAAGAGAGAAAAAGAGAGAGAAAAAAGAGAGAAAAAGAGAAAAAAAGAGAGAAAAAGAGAGAAAAAGAGAGAAAAAGAGAGAAAAAGGAAAAGAAATAAAGAAAGAAATAAAAGAAAAAAGAAAGAAAAAGGAAAAGAAAGAAAGAAAAAAGGAAAAAGAAAGAAAGAAAGAAAGAAAAAAAAAGGAAAAAAAGAAAGAAAGAAAGAAAGAAAGAAAAGAAAGAAAAGAAAGAAAGAAAGAAAGAAAGAAAGAAAGAAAGAAAGAAAGAAAGAAAGAAAGAAAGAAAGAAAGAAAGAAAGAAGAAAAAAGGAAAGAAAGAAAGAAAGAAAGAGGAAAAAGAAAAAAGAAAGAAAGAAAGAAAGATAGAAAAAGGAAAAGAAAGAAAGAAAGATAGAAAAAGGAAAAGAAAGAAAGAAAAAAGAAAGAAAAAGGAAAAGAAAGAAAGAAAGAAAAGAAAGAAAGAAAGAAAAAGGAAAAGAAAAGAAAGAAAGAAAAAGGAAAAGAAAGAAAGAAAGAAAAAAAAGGAAAGAAAGAAAGAAAGAAAGAGGAGAAAAGAAAGAAAGAAAGAGAGAGAAGAGGAAAGAAAGAAAGAAGAAAGAAAGAGAAAGAAAGAGAAAGAGAAAGAAAGAGAAAGAGAAGAAAGAGAGAGAGAGAAAGAAAGAAAGAGAAAGAGAGAGAGAAGAGAAGAGAGAGAGAGAGAGAGAGAGAGAGAGAGAGAAAGAGAGAGAAGAGAGAGAAAGAGAGAGAGAAGAGAAGAGAAAGAAAGAAAAAGGATACCCTTGAGCTAGAGTCGGTGAATTTGCAATACCATTTGTGAACACAGCCAAGAACCACACAGGCAGAAGGACTATGTGAATGCGTCCTTGTTGAGAGGGCATGGTGACCCTGAAGAATGCCCAACAAAGATGGCCCTATTCTTGAGGGAGTAAAGCAGGTGAAGGCATTGTCAGCAGGTGAAGGCATTGTCAGCAGGAGTACTGTCAAGTCTAGGAGAGGTAATAAATATGTGGAAGTGTTAAAATGACGCATCACTTAGCATGCATAGACTTAACATGAAAAATATACTTGTTGACAGATCCACTTTTAAAGGGAGGGACACCAATGAAAGAACAGGGCACTGACCTCATGTTGACCAGATGAGGTGGCACTTGCTGGTGCTGGAAGTGGTCCCTCCATTGGTGAATACAAAAGGACTGTGATGGCTGCACGCAGCAGACGGGGTGATAAATCGGTGGATGGTTTGGGCACACAGAGGTCGGGGACAGTTGTCGTTGAAGCTGTGAGCACTCGGTGTTCAGCAGAGGTGAAGTCCCAACAGTGTGGGAAACGTGGTCCTGCTGGCTGTTTGGGGGCGGGTGATAGCAGCAGTGGTGGCAGCACTGAGGGATGATTGGAGTTCTCTGGTGCTCCAGATACATGGAACACGTTTTGGCTGCACCATTCTGAGGAAGGCATCCATTAGGACTGGCTTTAACTTGGGATTCCTCGGAGCTGGGGGGTGGTTGGTCTACATCGCAGGCTATGGGGTGGCCCGTGCAGGTAGCTTTGGTTGGGAGGCTGCCATTACTGTGTGCCGTACAGTCGCTGTTTCTGCTGTCCACAGCCATCCTCTTCCCAGCGCCTTACAGTCATCGAAAGGTCTGTGAGGAAACAGAACATGTTAAAATGTGGAAATCAATGCCAGAAGATCTAGAATGACCAAAGCTATAAAAACTCTACACCAGCCAAAATATTTTTTTTTTTCAGTTGGGTGAAATCAGAACATCTGGAAAGATTTATGTGTCCCCACTGGGAACTGTCTTCACTTCTTGCTCTTGTGACGAGGACAAAAAAAAATTAGGGGGTCTCGGTGTCCCATCAGAGAGACATCTCATCACTTTCTAACATTTTGAACTAGTGATTAACAAAAGAAGGTCATAAAAAAAAAAAAAAAAAGTCACAATTTAGTAGCTATTCATAATGTGGAAGAAAAAACTGAGCGCTACAAACTGAAAATGTTATTTAATTAATTTTTAATATTCAAAGCAAACTCACTCATCCTTCCATGTCTCCATGATTTATTTTGTTGAGAAGTCACTTTAAAGCCCCCCCCCCCCAGCACTTTTAGCCGTGGCCATCTTGAATAAGGGCAGATTTATGCAGAATTTACTTCCTGGAATCCATCTGCCCGTAGCTCTGGTATGCAGGCAGGAGGACATGCATAGCTGAGAAAGCCCCTTCTCCCAAGAAAAGAAAAATGCCCATAAAGACTCCTGGAATGTATGACATCATTTTGGCCTCGGTCAGGAACAAAGAAGTTACTGAAGAAATGTAAAGTTTAAAACAAGTAAATATGATATACCTTCCTATCCATTTACTAATACTAGAAACATAAGAATTAAAATTCGTTCATGTTGACCGACAGCGTTTAGTTCTGCACACAAAATGTCACAAATGATCTGTGCATTCATTAACATTGGTAGATTTTAAAGTTCACCTTTTTCGACTAAAATAATAAATGCAAATTTTTTTGCAGGTAAAAAAAAAAAAGTGAATTTATTGTTTTTATCCAAAAGGAGCCTGGAAAAGCATTGCACCAGCGATTGTACGGGATGTACAAGCAAGCAGATATACTGACAGGAAGCATCAATGAACTGCCATGGCGCTCCACAACACCGTGGTAGTACACTGAAAACTACAAGCCGACAGCCGCTAAGGCTCTTGGGACTTGCAGTTCATTCTTTCACGGAAGTCTTGTGGCCTTGTGGGCGGAGCCCCATGGTTTTCAAATTTGACCAATAGTACGGGGAGACTTCTCCCCATACTATCTGTCTGGGGGGGGGGGGGGGGGAACAGGGGGAACAGCTGCATCTATGGGAATATGTTACATGTTCCACCCTAAAATTGGGTGGAAAATGTAACATGTTCCCAAAGGTGAACTTAAACTTTAAATCCTGCCAGTACAAGAACATACAATCTCCCATTATATTGGTTACAGCAGCACTGGGAAAGACTATTGCATGGCACAGCACTGTCAGTCTAACACAGGGAACTTGATTATAAGCCCTCATGTACACTGGATGTTTTGATAATGCTGGTAACATTAGCCGTGTAAAGTCATGTTAAAAACGTGAGTTTTTCAGGTTTTTTTGGGTCAAAAAAACTCCAAAAAACACAAGTTTTACCGCGTTTTGACACGTTTTACAACGTTAGACCATTTTTACGACTAAAAAACTCCTCTAGAAACCCACTAGTCCTGGATTTTTTTTCCAGCCAAAAAATGTTGATTACAATCTATGTGCACATGGACACATAAGATAACATGCTGGGGAGTTTACTAGCCATAGAAAAAATGTCAAAAGCCAAAAACAGCCGCTGCAAAAAATCGGTAAGTGTGCCTGAAGGGCTGAGAACACATGCGATGGGGAGGGGAGGTGACCAAGAAGCTATACATTGACACTAATGTTTTCCTAAAGGTCTTCCATCACATAAAAGAGGACGAAGGTAGACTTTAGATACATAGTTCTAACATAGTAAGCAGCAGAAGTGATTTAAAAGGCTCATTGGCTTCAACAATCTCAATCTCTAAATGCTTCATACGAAAGAAAAGAAAGAAAAAAAAACAAAAAACATGCACATAGGGAAACTATGTTCACACTAAATTACATTTTTCTCTTCCCAGCCAGCAAGTGATCGTAAGCAAATAAGACCTCACCATAAAAGAGTTATAAGAAATGAAAACAAACCACAAAACACAATATAAAAATACACACAATGGTTTTCTGGGAATTAAGAGCCTGCATTAAGAGCAGAAACAGAAACATTTGGGGAATCTGGATATACACCGCATTCCTTGCCAATGCCATTAGGATTGTCTTTTGGCTAAGCCGGAGGCCAAGACCAGGCGCCACCTGTTAGCCCATGAACTTTAATGGAAGGAGGAGGAACAGCAAAAGGCGAGCTATTGCACAAAACGTATTTCTTGAGGACTCTTAACACACTACAAAAATGTAAAATAGGCCCTTAGAGCCCATTCACCCCATCTTGTTGTGGTAACGCGCGTGTTACCACAAATGCATAGCTACGCATATTAAAAGCGCTGGAGTAATGCAATGCCATTCATTCAGAACGGCACTCCAACGTTACTGCCTTCGGACATGCATTGCAGAGCAACACAACATATTTTTTGCAGTGCACTTTAGGGTGCTGCAATGCATGTCCATTGGGGGAGTGATTTAGAATGAATGGTCCCGCAAAGCATTAATGCATTTAAAAATAGAGAAGCATGGGCTATGGGGGAAAAACAACAAATAAAAAACACATACTCAGCTTAGGTGGATGCAGCATTGATCAGATGCTGCATCTATCCCCAGCCGATTCTACACAGAGAACTGAGTGATCAAACACCACGACCACTCAGTTCTACCCCTCCACTCTGAGCAGAGAGCCATGACTGTCAGTCACTGCCTCTCTGCTCTGCCCCTCCAGCGCTCACTGAAAGCACGGGACTGTGGAGGGGCAGAAGTAGCTGGCTCATCATATCGCCGTGAGGCTGAGCCAGGTGTCCATCTACCTTTTGTTCGGATATTTTCAGAGCCTGGACTGGCTCTGTGACATCAGCCGACAACAGGCTTCAGCAGATCGTTGGCTGAAAATAGCTTTGGCTATACCTCTCCTTTAACATGCGTTGCCATGCATTGCTGCAGCAAGAATGTGTTAAAAGGGCCCTAAAGCAGGCCATAGATTATGCAATTTTCATATCTTCCACCATGGGTGGCAGGAAAGATAATTGCTCGATTCCCTCATCAGCACAGTCATGTCAATGAGCACTATTGTGTTCTGCCAGTGGGTAGCCTTTTCTGCCAGTAGAAGACGAGAATTAGTGATGCTGGCTATAGTCAGTGGCACTAATTATTTGGGAAAAGCCCGACATGCTTGTTGTACACAAGTCAATCGATCGAAAAACTTGTGTAAAACCAGGGTGCCCATACATGAATGAAAATTCGGCCAGTTCCTTCTGAACTGGCTGAATTTGAGTATGGCAGGCTTCAGGGCCTATCTATATCTTTGCATTGCGGCAATGCATGCGGAGGCGTCATTCATTCTGAATTGCACCCTAGCACACCAAGGGCTCATTCACACTTGCTTTGGTCTCTGAAGAATGATCCAAACGCAGAGCATTTGACCGGCAGTGAGGTGGTATTGTGTCTCCTCTTCACCACCTGCTTCAACCCCTTGATCGCCACGGTTGTGAGCTGCTTGCAGAGTGGCCCTATTCACTGGTTTGCATTTGGTGGGCTTAGCGACAGGGGGAATAATTCCAGTTGCGGCATGTGTACACCTGGGGCCAATGCCTTTGCAGCTAAAGGGGGAAGCGGTTGGGGGGCATAAAAGCATGACCCGACCACTAATGTGAAAGAGCCTGAGGAACTTCATGGCACCACGCGTACAGCAGGAGCATACGTTATGAGAACCTAGGAGTGGATGCATTTTAGCGCACATTCTTATGACGCAAGTGTGAATGGGGTTCCAAGCATTGCTTACACAATGTACCACAGTCTGCAGTCCGTCCAGTTTTGGAGACAAGACATTTTGGTGCACTGGAAGCCCATTCATTGGCTTGCCTTCATGCAATGAACATTAAACAGCAACATAATGTGCCTTAAACACACCGCAAAAAAGTAAACAGGCCCTTAGCGTCCACATTATTGCGGCTGTGTAACCATAAATTCCCTTTGGACACTTATTTACAGGGCTAATAATTCCTGACTTTCCACTGCTCTATATTTTCAAAAACAGTCCAAGGAGTTAAATAAAACATGCCATTTCCCGTGGCTGATATTTCACCGAGAGCAGAATAAATTTAGAAAAATAAAAAAAAAGTTATTTCTTCATCTTTTCAATTTGTTCTACAACATGGCGATCTTGCTTCAAAACTTAAAAGTATCCGGGTACTCCGGTTTCCTCCCACACTCCAAAGACATGCTGGTAGGTTAATGGGATCCTGTCTATATTGGCCCTAGTATGTGTATGTATGAATGTGAGTTAGGGACCTTAGATTGTACGCCCCTTGAGGGTTAGGGACTGATGTGAATGTACAATATATATATGTAAAGCACTGCGTAAATTGATGGCGCTATACAAGTACCTGAAATAAAAATAAATATGTAAACCCTCAAGTTGCAAAAACAACTCATACAGTTTAAAATAGAAATAAAAAAGGTAAAACATTTGTGTATACATAAAAAATTGTTTATTTTTTTTTTTATATTAGTGATCACATACCTTCTGTTCTGCTTCATAGAGAGATAGGGGGAGGAAAACCCAGTGAATGCCTGTGCTTGGGGTGGTGTTGTGCCAGGACAAGTCTGATCATTAGAGAAGAGCAGGCTGAGTTCTCAGCACAGCTGACCTCACTGTGCTCTCATGCCTAGTGTAGTCAGTGTTTAATAAGAAAGCCGAGGGACTGTCAGGAGCACCAGGGATTTCACACAAAGCAATACAAAGCACAGGATACTTTTTTATATAAGCACATGTTACAGCAGGCACATATCATGAATATGATATGTCAGCTCTACATATTTATTAAAGCGGAGCCCCACCCAAAACGGAAAGACGTTATGCATTTAGGCAT